TTCATGCTGAGATTTCACATCCAGCTCAGCCTAGGGGAGCAACACTGACATGCCAGTATAAATACTTTCAATTTTCTGAATTGTAAAGATTTCCCAGTTCACGGAAACAATGCAGGTCTACCGAGGATAGGATTGCTGTCTGTTACCTGGCACAGTCATCTGCAAAACAGTCCATAGATCCTCACAAACCAAAAGTCAGTGGTGAATATCCAGGGGAAGCAACTCCTTGGTTTCTTCACACAACAGCATCCATGCATGGCCCCACTCCCTCACCTCACCGCTGCACTCCACAAGATGCCACTGAACAAGATGAATCAGTGCCTTCTCAAGTACTTGTCCTCTTTCCTCCACTCTACCCTCTGCAGAGGCCATGACTGCAGATCCACCTGTTAAGCTACCTAAGTCTGCCCTAAATAAAAGCCAGATCCTTTACCTTCACAAGACCAGGATGGAGGCAGCCATGAACTGAGTATTAACCCACGAGAGTCACCTCCCAGACATGCAGGAACATCCTGCATTCTCCTCTCCCACTGGCCAGATGAGTAACATGATACACTCACCTCCATGGTTGAAGAGGAAAAGACACTTCTTCCAACTTTTCCTCCCAAAGATCTCAAAGCAGATCACAAAAAATGCAACAGCACCAAGATCCCTCACAAAGTGATGAGCACAGTCAGAGCTGAACAATTCTTTGGTTAACGTTGGCCAGGATGGTGAGGCTTTTGCTGAGCCATCACTGGCAGCTGGTTACACACACGCTGCTCCAACTGCAAACACCCAGTCCACTACCAGTGAAGGGCAGGCTCAAAGCATTACTTTCACCTTGGATTCTAAACTCCACCAGGATTGTCTACTCATGCCTGTACAGTGCCCAGCACGTGGGGCTTGCCTCCTGACAAGAGGGAGGCAGGGCTGGGGCCATCACCATGCTCTTTGGCATCAGAGGCTGTGAAGGAACCCAAGTCCTGCCCCCTCATTCCTGCCCATCAGACCACCCTCTTCTCACTGAGCGGGGAACTCAGGTTGAGCTCCACAGATGCATTTTGGTGCCTACCTCCCATTCATGTCAAGGAGCTTTAGGTACCCTAGATGCTTTTGGAGGCTCTGGGCCCAAATCCAAGCGTCTGACGGGCAGGTTGCTGGTGCCCTGTAGCCTCCAGAGGCAATGCTGGAGGGTCTGTTACACAATGGAAGAAAACCAGGATGCAAGGCAGAAGGAGAAGGCAAAGGAAATCAAGGTCAGAATTAAATTCTTTAATACAAAAAAAAGTTTGTTTCTTGTCGTCGTCGTCGTTTTTTTAAGATATATCTGTAATTTCTTTGTTTAAAAATAAATATGTACTAAGGAATATCTTGAAAAAATTCACTAGACACAATATGTAGTGTTAATATCTTTTTTCCCCGCAATTATTACAGATAAACAGTAGCACCAATAAATAAAATGATAACAAATATTAAAATTAAAAAGGAGAGAGATTCAAGATGTAGAATTTTCTATTTTTCCTGCTTCTTCTTTTTACATATATAAAAAAATCGTAGCGTCTATTTTATCCGAATCACACATATACATAAACATATATATATATATATACAAACACATAGCCAAATATATATATAGTATGTAGATGTATATCTAACCCTTGTCTCAATAGGAATGTGTAGGGGTAGGTGTTAGAGAAATTAATTAAATAACTGCCCATAACATGCTACTGACTCTGCCAACAATTGGGGAGAGATGGGACGGGACAACAGGGAGGTTAAACTTATACACAACCAGTACAAAAAAAAAGAAAAAAAAAAAAGAGAAAAAAAAAAAAAAAAGGAGGAACGGCTTAAAAAAAGTTGAAATAAACATGTTCTCACTGTTCATTATCAATCCTGTCTTTGCTAAGAAAGAAAAAAATCCAGTCTACAGATTTAGTGTCAATGAATTTTCATCACACATATCTCCTCTAGAGATAAAATTTCTCTTATGCAGAATATGTACTCCCCACCACCCTTCCCAAACACCCATTCATTGCTGTAATTTCTAGAGTAGAAGTACCAGGGCAGAACATGTGTTATGGTTTATCCTAAGCAAAACCACATCTTTCTTTGCCTGAAGTAGTACAAGCAGTCAGGAAAAGATGAGACCCTACCTACGTTTATCCAGTTTTGATAGAAGATTAGGACTTCACTCTTTTCTTATTTCTGCATTGTGGTGTTGCTTTAAAAATACATGAGGATGAGGTGGAGCCATACCTGTAACAGTCAGGCTACAGGGATTTTAAAAATGTATTATGTATTGGTCTTATATCCATGCAGATGTTAGCAATGGAATGAAATCCTCCTGTTGCAAGGAGCTTTTGTAGTTGGTTCTTCTACAAATCGTTTGTAGCAACCTAGCTCAGCCTGCTACAGGAACAATGAAAGAAAATGCTTTTCCAAATTAAATATTCTCTAATTCTTCAGTCTAGTTACACATTTTAATTATGAATCTAATGAACTATAAACGTGACATCAGAATTCTTGCCTAATACCAAGAATTTTGATTTAATTAAAAAATAAAATTATACTAACCAGATACGTTTAAAGATTATAGTGCAATTAAAATATGCAATCAAGCTTGCATAAAATACATATTCCTAGGGTATATTTACACAATGTTCTCTTTGTTTAAACAGAAGCTGCACTAGTTTCTAACACTCTACTAGAAAACTGGCTGAGAAGCTCTCCTAGCTACTCCATAGATAAACTTTGCTCTGACTCTCTGCTGCAACACCTTGACTGATGCTTCCATGAGAAAAGCAGATTCCAGTTGGAACTCCTGACAGTCTCTTTTTCATATCTTACAATGTCCCCCTTAGCTTTGGCATTCTCACATTTAACATCTCCTGCATAAGCTATTATGAAATGATTGGCAGTTCAATTTGGGCTGAATTTACACTATATACAAAGGGAGGTTTTGTAGCATAGATACTGGGGAAAGTGGAGTGAAAAAAAAAAAAAAGAGAAAAAAAAAAAAAAAGGAGGTACGGCTTATAAATAGTTGAAATTAAATATTAACAAAGAATACTGAAAAATCCCTACTCTTTAATTAAATTATCTGTTTAATTTCTAATTTAAAAAGGGATATTAAATAAGTATATAAAACACTTTCTCTTCCCTCCCCCCCCCATCGGAAGCCTCGTCTTGCGCACGATGCAGCATGAGTATCATACATTGCAGATGCAAGCACCCACCCCTGTGTTTTTCCTCCTTCTGAAAGCCATCAGTCGGGTGGGGAGTTCCTAGTGGTTAGTAGTCGCTTGTTGTGAGTCTGTTTTTAGACCGTCTTGTCTTTTTGGAAGCTTTCCGTGTTGTACATTATCAGGCGTTGAAAATTCAACTGCAGATGATGTTTGGCAGCATTCTGACACAGACCGAGTACCTTTTTGATTATTATTATTATTAATAATAATTTTAATCACAGAACTAGATTATATATATCCACATAGATGTACAAACACGCTTTCAGGGGGGCGTGTGTGTGCGCGCGTGTGTAGGGTGGGTTTCACATACACCACAGTGTATTTTGCAGATACACACATAGCCAAGATTCTCAGACACGGCTTAGGGATTTCTGGCTGCCTTGGCATTTGACTCCCCAGCCCGAGATGTGGAAAAGGGGCCTGGTATTTACAGTATGTCGTTAAAAAAAACAACAAAACTTGACGTTCTGAAGGGTCATTCACACTGCATATGCAAACTGAAGGCAGCAAAAGTTGCTTTTTTTCCCTCCTTCAATCTTGGCATACATATATATTATTTTTTTATATATATATATGTATAAAAATAAATATATATATATAAAAAAGAGATAAAAACACAAACACACATACACGCAGACACAAATGCACACATTCACATACACACACACCCCCCCTACTGTGTATATACTTTTGGTTAATATCCCTTTCCAGAAATGTTCCATAAGCATCTTGGATGCTCTTGAGTGGCAGCTCTGTGCATGAAGAAAGCAGACAGTGCTGAACAACTGCGTGGCTATGCACCGGTCCCCATTCTTGCTTCAGCACACTGTAGGCCTCGTGTCCTTTTGCAGCCACCAAGGGCAGGAAATCTAGACTCCTGTGATACTTCCTTGAATGGAAAGTTAGTGCGCATCAGCTGCCCACCATCCTTAAGAGAAGCCAGCATGTCTCTCTGGCAAAGTTTCTATAGTGAATAAAGTCAACGCAAAATGTACACTGACATCCCATGTCCCAGCAAGGCAGGCAGGTTATGAGACGAGTAAGGGCGAAGGTTGGGGGAAGAGAGGGGAGGAGGAATCCTTGATCACGCAGACGGCCATTTCCTTGGCCTTTGACCCATCACACCCTAGGATGCCACTCTTTGGAACTCCCTGCCCATCCTCTCCATCACCTCTCCTCCCTGTCCCAGGCAAGGAGAAGGTGGTCTGTGGTACAGCACACTCTACAAACAGCGGAGGCCACACAAGTCAGTTAGAGTTAAGAAGTTTACACCCAGCGCTTCTACTCAAGTCCAGTCTTAGCTTGTTTCTTATGCCCCAAGTAGCCCGCTTGTGTCCACAGCAGTCGAGTATTATCCAGTGAAGACACCAATAACATTAGCAATGTTAAAAAAAATAATCAGTATATATATATTATATATATATGTGTGTGTGTGTGGTTAAGATATACATATATGTATATATAGATGTGGTTAAAATATATATACATATATATATATGTATATGCATGTATACACACATATATATGTATGCATGGGAAAACCCATCAAATACACCCCTATAGTCTTCCTGGCTCTGTTATTTAGCAGCATGAAAAGAAAAATAAAATAAAACAGTTCAAAACCAAAAGGTGAATTCTGTGCGGCGGGTGCCTTGGGGAATGTTCCTTCCGGAGTCCATCGTCCGTACTGAAAGTGCTGTGCTCTACCGATCCTTCATTTTTAGGGTTCATTTGGATTAGTGTTTTGTTTTGTCTTTTTTTTTTTTTTTTCTGTCCAGGCGAGAAATCAGGCTCCAGAAACAGGGCTGTTCCCCCTTCTTTTCCGCTGCTCACCGTCTCGGTTTTTCACATCTGTCAGAAAGGGAGGGAAAACAAGAGAGGAGGGGTTAATGTTTGTGAAGGGGGTGCAAGTAGGGCAGGGAAGGGAAGGAAGGGAGGTGGCTAACGTGTTTAAGAGCACATGGTGTTAAGACATGGCATGACGTCACTGGTGGGGTGAAGTGCTGTGCAGATAGGGCAAAACAGCTAAGAATCTCAACCCTTGAATGGGTTGATGAGTTCTATGTCCCCAAGATCACCTAGAGGGGTCAGGGGGTGATACGAGTACAGGGGTAAATTTAAGAGCAAAATTAGAGGCTTCCTCACAGATGAGCTGAGTTTGCACCCTCTCACACCATGCACACATACACACAAACACACAGAAAAACAAGGCTAAGCAACGCATGCAGAAAGACACACTCCCTCAGCTCTCCACCTAGCCTGTTGTTTGGGTGGGAGGCAGTGCAGACAACAAGGCCTCATGCAGGCAAGAAGGTAAAAGAAAGTGCCCCTCATTCCATGAGCTGCCATGAGCAAGGGTTAGCACCAGAGAATAGCAGCAGCAGCCTGAAGAAGCAGCAGGAGAAATGAGAATTTAGCCTCCCCTTTAGGGCCCAATTCTAATTCTACAAGAAAGAGCCTGACAAACTTCAGCTTGACCAGCTTTTTATCTGGAAATCAATAAGCTATGCACTTCTATGACTCCTTCCTATATTTCTGGTTAATACACCAGCTCTGAAAACCTCCCTTAGTCCCAATTATCCCACCACAGAGAGAGTCTAGTAGTATGAAAAACTAGTAAACTCCTTCTGCCATCATGACTTCTTTGGGGTATTGTTTGTTTTTTCTTTGTATTTTTTACTATTTCTCAACCTTCAAACTCCGTAGGGTAATTTCCAGTCATTCTGGAGTTTGGGAACAGAGGGATAAGGCCAAAGTTAGATCTGTTCTCACGCTTCAGGGGTTACACTTGCTGGGAGAAGTTTAACTCCAGAAGCTGCTCTATTCTGGCCTGTCAATTACTTTCCCACTGAAATTACAGTGCCCCAGAAAATCCCTCTGCATACAGAGCACTTTCCACCACAGTGGCAGTGCCAATGCCTCCCTAGTTTGGGCACAAAGCACTTTCACACCTAAAGGAAGCACTTGCTACTTGTAGCAGCCTTGGTCACCTAGTAATTCCAGGCAGGCAAACAGATGTGTACCCTTTCAGGATGTAGCCACAGAGGACCCTGGATCTCTTTCCTTTACTCTCTCCCATCCAACCACTCCCACTGCAATACTGTCTTGACAGAGGCAATCTCTGAGATTTCTGTGTAAGGGGCCTGAGTTCAGAGTCACACTCAAAGGCTCTTCTGCAACCCTATTTCTATGTGTCTCTGGGTAGGTTGGATGATCTCACACCAGAGGTGCATGCACAGCTGGTGCAAGTCAAGGGACCCCACCGCCCTAACCAAAGCACTCAGGTGAGAATGAGGAGTCAGATTCTGCACATCTGTGCAACAGATGGTGTGTGACTGGTAGCACTCAGATTGGCACATTCATAGCATGGATCTTTGAACAAACACTAAACACAGAATGTCTTTGTGTCTCCCACCTGAAATACAGACCTCTGCCTGCCTTCACTTAAGAGACAGACCTAATCCTGATGCATCCCACATCACAGCCCTGAGTGCATCCTCTCAAACCACAACTCTCGTAGATAGGGAACTATAAGCATAGGGCAAGAAGACAGGGTGCTCTTCCTGGCTTTTAAGAACTAAGAGGCAAAGGAGAATGTGGGTCAGCCTTGTGGGAGGTTCCTGGCCTGGCTTTCCTCATTCTGCACACAGCAGAACATCCACAAGCCGCATGAAAAGGGCTTCGAAGACAGGGTTGGTCAAATTCTAGTGAGCTAACGATTTGGTTTTGTCCAACAGAATGCCCAGAGTTGCATACAAATAAAGTATAGAGGGCTACAGACTCTCCACCTGACTACCTCAGCAACATGAACTCCATTACCTTATTTTATGGGAAAGGATACCACAGATACAAACACCCTGTTTCTAGGAGCCATCCCCAACCAAGACCTGACAGCACATCTGAAACGCACAGCCACCCTTTGACACGGGGAAACTCTGTCCTCATCTCAGTTAGCCCCTCTGGCCCACGTAGGACAAAGAAAAGAAGTAATCATATAGCACTAGTGCCAGAATTCAGCAG